GAAACAGATTAATTCAACTGCAAAAATTTGGTAACGCTGCACTGCCCCTTTCATCCTTTCATAAAAATACTTGTGAAAACTATTAATTCTACTTTTCTTTTTCTGGTGGTATTGAGCTTCATCCTGGATGAAAGGGGCAGTGCAGCGTTACCTCTCTGTGTGAATAACGGTTGGGGTCAGACGAGGTGAAGTGGATCGTAGCCACAGTTTGGTAAGAACCAATCAGACAGTTCCACGTGGGAATATGGGATTGGTTAGACCTGGCCACAAACGAGTATAAGAAGGGTGAGCGCGCAGAGCGCAGGGAGTTCTCTCCCCACACGAAGACCGAAGCCCGGGCTCAAGATAGACAGGATCCTGGACCCGGCCTCCCAGCCCTTCTGAGAGCTAAGGCTCGGCATAACCAGTGGTCAAGACCCACCGGGCCAGCGGTGGGTCAGATAGCCTCCCCTAGATCCTAGCCGGAGGACTCTAGGATAGCGGTAGACTTGAGAGTAAGTCCCGCCAAGACAGGAGGCTGTACCTCCTTAAGTGAGCAAAGAGACCTGTGTGTAGGTCCCGATAAATCCGGAGGCTGTACCTTCTTAGGGTATCGGGTGAGGGGACCGTATACCCCTTGTGTGTTAAGGACTGTGTCAGAGGAGAAAGACAATAAACAGAGTGTGCCTCATAAGAAGTTTATTCGTCATTATAAACACTACAAATATATTTCGATTTAATCCCTCAGCTATTTCAATGCTAAATTATCCTGTTTGATATGTACTAGGTGCCTCTGTGGATGTGTAGGCTTTGACTTTAACATAGCTATTTCTGTGACCATCACAAGCTAATCCCTCAGCTATTTCAATGCTAAATTCTCCTGTTTGATATGTAAACCCCTTTGTCAAGGTGCCTCACTTCTCTCAACCAGCTTAAAAGACGCTACGAATCTTAGCAGCGTTCATTGAAGCTCTGTCGTCCTGACAGTTTTGTTCCTTCATCTGAAGAAGGCTACTTGTGTTGTGGCCGAAACGTCGTGAGAATTTTATTGTCTAATTTTATTTTATTATTTTATTCTCATTCTACGTGACTTTACCGAAAGAACCAAAGAAGAATGCAAATATATGTCTGAAGCCGTGTGTGATTCTATGATGTTATATTGATTTATATAAATAAATGCGAACGCATCTCAAGACTCTGCACAGAACCACTGAATATATGTATTTTATCTAAATAAGAAGTTAGTCAAAGGTAGAGGAGAAGAGTATAACGTACTCTGTTTTTTTTCGGTAAAGTCACCAAAGAGTATCTCCTGCAGTCACGAAAGCACCAAAATCAAGAATATAACGTCTTCAGCCTAGACTTGAACAGGGGAAAGGGAGTCAGGAGCACCTTTCCATCATTTGGCAGCATGAGAGTACTGTTACGCTTGTGGGACACATTGTTGTCTGTTTGGTATTGCATTCACGGCCCACGTCCGGCAAGTGTAGATTTGATTGATTCTTCTCACTGGGGTCTTAAGTTCAAATGCATCCTTGTCAACTGTGTGGAAGGTGAGCAGTGTAAATAAAACACCCAGCAGACACACCCTACCACCAAATCATGACCCACGATGGCTCCTGATGGTCCAATATTCTCCACTATCTTGGATGGAGATTTGTTTACAGCTCTGAACCAGGTGTGGAAATTACACATACTGATGGCAGGGCCAAAACTATCTAAAAGGATAACCTCTGTTGAAAGTGATACAATTTTATCGACCATAAATTTATGATGGGCTGAGTCAACCTCCAACGCTGAACCACCTGGCAGGACTGTAGAGATGGCGACAGCTAGGGGAGGCATTCGTCCAGCAATGGATTGATTGTGGCTGATGATGGTGTAATAAAGGTTCAATTATATTTTCGCTTTGTTTCCTTGTGTAAACAAAGGAATATTTTACTGCTTTTAAGAACAAAGTTGTCGTCCTGTTTAAGCGTGCTGCTCTGCCCTTAGTCAAGGCTATCGACCTTCAATACAATCTGGAGGGATGACTCCTTCAGGTTGTGTATTTAAGGAGTACAAGTTGAATTCCTGTGCGCCGATGCAATTCATTTATGGTTGTGATTGTGTGTGCACCTGTCCAGATAGTCAAAGTACGTGTATAATTTGTACAAGTGTGTCTGTCATGTGTCTTTCACGCGTGTTGTTCATTTATGTTTTATGTGTGTATGATGGGTGTTTTATCTCCTGCATGTTGTGTATCGTGTTTATCTATTCTGTGTAACTTTTGCTCTGTCATGTGCATTTGTGTCATTTTCTTTATGTTCACATGGGTGCATGTGCAATTTAGGAGAACATACATCCGATTAACAGTTGAGCTGCAGTCCGTTGCCAGCCCGATCCTCAAGAAGGTGGGTCGGGGACCTGGACTGTCTTGTAAAGCCTCCATTGTGGCTAGAATCGTGGTTCTTTTTTTTGTACTGTTTGCTGTAACATGCTGACCAGCCCCTACACTGCACGCAGGAGCTGTCGACGTGATGTTGGTTCCTGACCACGGCTAAGGGGGGGTCTTCTGATGCAATGGGACTGGAAATCACAAAGGTTTAATATTGTCGTGCCCATTGTTCCGCGGGGCAAGGTTATATGGGCTACGCACGAGCGCTTGACGCACTTGGCCCGGGATGGCTGGTGACGTTTTATAATGTTTTGAAGGGATGCACGGAATGCGTTCGCCGAAAACCTCCACCAAGAAAGGGCTGCCCACCCTTGAAATCCATAGTGGTATCCCGCGTCAATGAACTAGTCGCACTCGATGTGCTTGGCTCGTTTCCCACCACCCCGCGTGGAAATATTTGGTCGGGGTGGAGTACCTCTCACGCTGGCCGGTGGCTTGGCCAGTGCCGGACCAGTCGGCCGCGATGATTACGGACGCATTCCTTCATGGCTATGTTTTGGATAAGGCTCTGGAGCACCTTCTTACTGACCAAGACAAAACATTTTCATCCAAACTGTTGAAGGAGGTTTGCGATCTGTTGGGCACCAAGAAGGTTCGAACTTCGCCCTATCACCCTCAGACTGATGGTATGGTGGAACGTTTGCACAGGACCCTGACCTCGATGTCATGCCAGTAGGTCAATGAAGCACAGACCGACTGGGACTTACATGTTCTGGGTGTTCTCGCGGCCTATATATCGGCCCCTCATGCTTCCACCAGGTTCTCTCCATTCTTCCTCGTGTATGGGAGGGAGCAGGATCCCCCAATTAAAATTTAATTGAACCCAGAGCCGCGCACTAAAAATATGCTGAATCCTATGCGCCTTACTCTGACACGGTTGTCTGAGGCAGGGGAGGCATCCCAAGGAAATTCGGCCTTGCATCAGACGGCTAATGAACGGCTTGTGGCGCTCCGTGAATCGGTCACCAATTGGACGCTGGGTGATATGGCTTGGCTGCACTGCCCCCAAATTCCTGTGGGTACGTCCCCTAAATTAGCCTTGGAAGGGCCCGGTCGAAGTGGTGGAGGTTACCAGTCCTCAATGTGTGCGGATTCGTTACGGCCGCAGGTACTGGTTTGTTAACACATCGCGACTGAAACATTTTTTTTCACCTGCTGGAATTCCTTCATCTCCACTTTCCAAGGGCCATGTGTCGTGTGTCCGATGAGCTGGGGCATGCTTCTGCTGAGGTCGTTCCTCAGGGGAGTTCCGTTGTTCCACCCACAGGCTCCGAGCACCTGACACCCTCGACATCACCCGTTGCATCGGCCCGGAATGGACTAAGGAATGCAGAGCCGCCATCGCTCATTCTTTCTCTGCCTGCTGATTCTTCTCCTCAGGAGAGGCCGCGCCCATTGGGCCATCTTCATGTTGTTCCCGGGACCTCCAGGGAACCCACAACCCACCCCACCTGGGGGTCCGGCGACAAGGACCCGTTCTAAGACCGTCCGCTTTAAATTACCCTCCTCCATCCGCTTTAAATTACCCTCCTCCATCGTGGTTTATCCCTACTCTATTGGCGGTTACACGCGCAAGTTGGAGGGGTCATTGGCTGAACCGGGCTCTTCTCGTGCTTGCGGATGGTGACACACAGATGGGGGGGGATGGTTGTGGTTCAGTTGGAGATTGGGTCTGCCCTTGTATGTTGCTAACAGTTTTTTTCTCGCTTTCGCGGATTGTATACATATTGTGTATATTGTATTTATTGTTCATTGAGCGGTTGTTCGTTGTTGTTCACTGCAAAAAAATTTTCCTTGTTAAGGTTTTGGAGTCGCCATGGCGTGGGCGCCATCTACTGACACAAGCCTGTAACTATACGTCTTGTACCTCTGGCACCGGCGTAGGCATGGCAGGGAAGCGGGCACTAGAGGGCATAGTTCCATTGACGAGCAGAGAAAGGGCACGTGAGGACGTGACAGTCTGCGTGAACCCGAGAGGGCAAGTGACCGGCACGGGGTAGTAAGGGGGTTCAAAAGGGGGCTTGAGGGACACGTGATGTGTGTTCCAGATCCTTCTGGAAATATCCAGAAGGGGGCGTGGCCGGAGGAGGAGCGAGGCCACACCCGAGAGCAAGCGAGGCTATCTTTTGGAATCAACTCGCAGTACTACGTCTCCCCGTCGTTGGTCGTCACGTCGGTCATCAGTTGTCACGTCAATCTTCGGTCGTTATGTTCGGCATCGTGGGTGAGGCAGACGTTCCTGACCTGACCCAGTTATGTAGTTACCCTGTAAGGGTCCAGTTAACAGTTGAGTGTTACCCTGTTGAGGGTTTAACGACGTGTACGTTTAGGAAGTTACCCTGTTGGGGTTGTTAATAAACGTTGTGCCTCCAAACTCCAGTGTGTGCCTCCGTGGAACCACTACATATATATTAATCTACAGTATGTGTGTTCTATTCAAAATTTGTATTACTTTTAAATCCTAATGTAATTTTAAATATTGTTTGTGATTTTATATATTTTACTATATTGTAAGATTCATTATATATTGTAAATAGTCATCATAGCTGTTTCAATTTAAACACTATTATTTAAGGATGTAATATATGCATTCTGGTAATATATTAGATATGTATGCCATTGTATCAATCATCATTAGCCATAACATATTTTGTACAGCCCTTTGTAAATCTGCCATAACGAATGTGAAGTATGGTCAAACAATCAAACATGATATCTAAACCAGAAGTATTTCTTCACCCAACCTCAATTAGAACCTCATCAATTGTTATCAGTAAAGAAAATTTCAACAGCAAAGTCATCCTTGAAGATTGTCCACGATTTCTTCTTGTGTGGATTGTCCAACTCATCCCTGCTGAGGTAGAGCCTGGAACGAGACATGGGTGATCCATTGAACACCTCTGCGTGCGCTGTTAAAACACCTACAGAGCAAGTCACAGCAGGTGCATTACCACCAGCGCGTTTTCTGTCAAACCCGTTAATAAGGCGAAGGCCACACTTGCTCACGTCGAACATCAGAACTGACAAGAAATAGCACATTTCCACTATTTTATAATATCCTCCATTCAGTGCAGCACACCATTTCATAAAGAATGCCATAATTTTTGATTTAAAGCTTTCGTGACTGCAGTAATTCATATTCTTAGTTTTTTCGGTAAAGTCACGTTGAATATGAATGCCATAATTGTTATGTTAAAGACATTCAACATACATTTAATAAGCTATAATCGTCTACAAAAACAGCTATTCAGTCATAGATAGTGTGTAAAACTTGTTAATAAGACACTAAAATAATACAATTATTGCGCGGAATATGTGCTTATTTCTAAGACCCATGTTTATCACACAACCGAATAAGGGTACTTTTAAGTATGACTCAATCAACAATAACCTAAGGGCTATGAATTCAGTCTTTATTGAATACTGTATGGTACAAGAAATGTTACATTTAATCTAATGTGCTTTAATTTCAATCAACTTTTGCAAAATGCATATCTTATTATATTGCATATCTGAACAGAAAATATTGGTGATTCGTATATGTTGGACTCTTACTTGTTGTTTTCAATGAAGGATGTGTTGAACCAAAAGTAGAAAGCACAGTTGTCATAGCCCTTCGGAATACCCTGTAGCAAATGGGCTCAATTAAAACAGCTACACTTCATAATAGGGAACGTGTAATTTTTTTTTTATCACAGTGACAATGGGATTGTAAACCTTACCCAGAGATTTACTCAAATAAGATGTTGAATTTCACGTCTGTGAAAACTTGCAATATGACAAGTTCCTAAGATAGTTCATAAGTGATTTATATAAATTCTAATTTAACAATCTCTACAGAAAAACATCTACATGGCAGTATTTGAGCATCCTAAATATTTTTTAATGAAATAAAAATGCATTATAATAAAATGTTGTCCGTTGTGAAAACGGCCACCTGAATTCAATTATTGGCGACAGCTGATATTAGCGACAAGTAATATCTGAACTTGTCCGAGGCCCCTATTCACCATTCTGCACTTACCAGCATGGTGAAGTATGTCTGATATGGCAGGAGCAAGCCTTTATCCAACAGTGGTTTAACAAAAGGATGTACATTATCTTTCATGTTAATTATAAAAACCTTTATTTTTGTAGTGGAATAAATAGGCGCATGGGGGTAATTGGTGAGTTTGCGCGGGAGCAGGACAGTAGGGGTCATATTGGGACGATGAGGTAACGATTGGGCCAATTAAGCTGGGGAGCCAAGGACGGCTGTGATTGGCTGGTATTGTTGTCAGGGCTGGAGTGGCGTCTTGAAGTCTGGCGAGGTAACATGTGCACGGGCACGCGGAGCGTCGTTGGGACGCGGGTTAATTAATTGGGGTGTAATGAGAGCAGGGATAAATTGGGGAGACGTGAGGAGAAACGGGGAGTTGGAGTCGGGGCTGGACGAGGCAAGACGTGGAGCAGCTGAAGAGAGAAGCAGCCAGCAGTGGAGAGAGCATAGCGATAGCGAAGAGCAGAGAACAGAGACGAAGCAGTTAGCAGTGGAGAGAGCATAATGATAGCGAAGAGCGGAGAACAGACGAAGCAGCAGTGGAGAGAGCATAGTAATAGCGCAGAGCGGAGAACAGAGACGAAGCAGTTAGCAGTGGAGAGAGCATAGTGATAGCGAAGAGCGGAGAACAGAGACGAAGCAGTTAGCAGTGGAGAGAGCATAGTGATAGTGAAGAGCGGAGAACAGAGACGAAGCAGTTAGCAGTGGAGCGAGCACAGTGATGGCGGAGAGCGGGGAGCAGAGACGAAGCAGTTAGCAGTGGAGAGAGCACAGTGATAGCGGAGAGCAGAGACGAAGCAGTTAGCAGTGGAGAGAGCACAGTGATAGCGGAGAGCAGAGACGAAGCCGTTAGCAGTGGAGAGAGCACAGTGATAGCGGAGAGCAGAGACGAAGCAGTTAGCAGTGGAGAGAGCACAGTGATAGCGGAGAGCAGAGACGAAGCCGTTAGCAGTGGAGAGAGCACAGTGATAGCGGAGAGCAGAGACGAAGCAGTTAGCAGTGGAGAGAGCACAGTGATAGCGGAGAGTGGGGAGCAGAGATGAAGCAGCCAGCAGTGGGGGAAGCACAGAGACATCGGAGCTGACGGAGAAGTGGAGATTGGAGAGACAAAGACGGCGAGCGAGTCAAGTGAAGCACGGCGAGCGAGCTGTGGCAACAAGGGAACTGTGGAGCATTGAGGACATGTGGAGAACTGTAAATAAAGTGGTGTTGGAAGAAAGACAAGTTGTCCGAGTGAAATCAACCACTACATTTATATATAAAATGTAATTATAAAATCTAATCGCAGTTCTATAAGTTGAGTGTGACAGTCAATAAACACCTGAGTTCACATTGCAATGTTGCAATTATTCAAACATTGTGCCCCTTACCTACAAAGTGCTGTGAAAACCAGAATCAGAAGGATGATGTCCAGACTATGTTTAAAAGATTAATGATGCCTCCCTTGTGCTCGTAAAATGTAATCCAGAGTGACCCTCTTTTCACTGCAAATTAAGGAATAAACAGTGAGGGAAAAAAAGTATTTGATCCCCTGCTGATTTTGTACGTTTGCCCACTGACAAAGAAATGATCAGTCTATAATTTTAATGGTAGGTTTATTTGATTATTTGAACAGTGAGAGACAATAACAAAATCCGTAAAAACGCATGTCAAAAATGTTATAAATTGATTTGCATTTTAATGAGGGAAATAAATATTTGACCCCCTCTCAATCAGAAAGATTTCTGGCTCCCAGGTATCTTTTAAACAGGTAACGAGCTGAGATTAGGAGCACACTCTTAAAGGGAGTGCTCCTAATCTCAGCTTGTTACCTGTATAAAAGACACCTGTCCACAGAAGCAGATTCCAAACTCTCCACCATGGCCAAGACCAAAGAGCTCTCCAAGGATGTTAGGGACAACACTGTAGACCTACACAAGGCTGGGATGGGCTACAAGACCATTGACAAGCAGCTTGGTGAGAAGGTGACAACAGTTAGTGCGATTATTCGCAAATGGAAGAAAAACAAAAGAATGTCAATCTCCCTCGGCCTGGGGCTCCATGCAATATCTCACCTCGTGGAGTTGCAAAGATCATGAGAACGGTGAGGAATCAGCCCAGGATTACACGGGAGGATCTTGTCAATGATCTCAAGGCAGCTGGGACCATAGTCACCAATAAAACAATTGGTAACACAATTCTAGATTTGAAGCTTTCGTGACTGCAAGGATCCATACTCTTTGGTTCTATTCGGTAAAGTCACATGGGTAAAAAATAAAACAAAAAATCACGACGTTTTGGCCACAACACAAGTGGCCTTCATCAGGTGAAGGGACCGTACTGTCCAGAGAGCAGTGTTGGAGTGAAGACAGCCAAGCCCACGTCGCGTCCAATAAGCTGTGTGAGAGGAAACAAACGGCTTGACAAAGGAATTATCATAAAATGCTGTAAAGGACCGGCACGTGGAGGGGGGAGTTTACTAATGTTGGTGTGAAGGAAAATAAGCTGGACCAACACCACCTGACCAGTGAATTTAAGCATGTACATCTGGCCCTCAAAAGGAATGGATACTCTGACCGTACCATCCGCCAAGCTGTTTCTCCCTCCATACAGAAACAACCACTTGATACTCCGATCAAAACCATCACACTTCCATATATAGCAGGCGTTACTAAAAAGATCTCCAAAATTCTAAACAAACAAGATCCTGGTCCGGTTCAATACAGTACACAAAATCCGTGACCTGATCCCTTCTGTGAAGGATGTCATTCCTGACTTACAGTACCCCGGGGTTTACAAATTGATCTGCACCTGTGGTGACTGCTATATCGGGGAGACGAAACGACACGTCTCTGACCGAATTCGCGAGCACAAATCAGATTTGAAACACGGCAGAACGAATTCTTCTGCCGTAGCTGATCACTGTTACAACGCTGTGGGTGATCACGATAGAATTTTCTCCGATACCAATGTCCTCTGCAAACCCACGGGTTTTTATCAGAGATTTATCCACGAGGCAATTCAGATTTACAAACAGACACAATTTAAACCGAGAAGATGGTTTCAAATTAAGCAATCATTGGAAAGATGTTCTAAATCATACCAAACTTTAAACTAATTTTCAATGGTACAGTATATTTATTCAAGTAGTGTATCCCAAACTTTCACAGCAGCTTATTTCCCTTCACACCAACATATGCAAACTCCCTAACCCCCCCCCCCCCCCCCCCCCCGTGCCGGTCCTCTACAGCATTTTATGCTAATTCCTTTGTCAAGGCGTGTGTTTCCTCTCACACAGCTTAAAGGACGTGACCTGGGCTTGGCTGTCTTCACTCCAACGCTGTCCTCTGGACAGTATGGCCCCTTCACCTGATGAAGGCCACTTGTGTTGTGGCCGAAACGTCGTGATTTTTGTTGTTTTATTTTTTACCTACGTGACTTTACCGAATAGAACCAAAGAATTGGTAACACACTACGCCGTGAAGGACTGAAATCCTACAGCGCCCGTAAGGTCCCCCTGCTCAAGAAAGCAAATATACATGCCCGTCTGAAGTTTGCCAATGAACATCTGAATGATTCAGAGGACAACTGGGTGAAAGTGTTGTGGTCAGATGAGACCAAAATTTAGCTCTTTGGCATCAACCCAACTCGCCGTGTTTGGAGGAGGAGGAATGCTGCCTATGACCCCAAGAACACCATCCCCACCGTCAAACATGGAGGTGGAAACATGCTTTGGGGGTGTTTTTCTGCTAAGGGGAACAGGACAACTTCACCGCATCAAAGGGACGATGGATGGGGCCATGTACCGTCAAATCTTGGGTGAGAACCTCCTTCCCTCAGCCAGGGCATTGAAAATGGGTCGTGGATGGGTATTCCAGCATGACAATGACCCAAAACACACGGCCAAGGTAACAAAGGAGTGGCTCAAGAAGAAGCACATTAAAGTCCTGGAGTGGCCTAGCCAGTCTCCAGACCTTAATCCCATAGAAAATCTGTGGAGGGAGCTGAAGGTTCGAGTTGCCAAACGTCAGCCTCGAAAACCTTAATGACTTGGAGAAGATCTGCAAAGAGGAGTGGGACAAAATCCCTCCTGAAATGTGTGCAAACCTGGTGGCTAACTACAAGAAACATATGACCTCTGTGATTGCCACCAAGGGTTTTGCCACCAAGTACTAAGGTCATGTTTTGCACAGGGGTCAAATACTTATTTCCCTCATTAAAATGCAAATCAATTCATAACATTTTTAACTTGCGTTTTTCTGGATTTTTTTGTTGTTATTCTATCTCTCACTGTTCAAATAAACCTACCATTAAAATTATAGACTGATCATTTCTTTGTCAGTGGGCAAATGTACAAAATCAGCAGGGGATTAAATACTTTTTTCCCTCACTGTAGGAGGGAGATTTGGGCATTGTGCTTGCAATCGCATTAATCACACAACCTTCACCTGAGTGGAATACACTTGATGACATTTATTCGCAGGAGAGCCACCAAAGTGATATTCTCACATTAAGCAAGGGACATTGTAGCAATGTATCAACTACGGCAAAGTGCCAAAGGGCTCATTGAGCTGGCACACAGTAATCAGTGCTTGTAAATAAAATCAGTGTGATATGGAAATTCATGTAAATGGGAAGACTGTGCACTTGTGTATGATAATCTTTTGCCCAGCACAAGATGATGGGCTGAGATTGTTTTGAACCCGATGAACCTTAAATGTGGAGTATGTGGCTAATGGACTGGCTCAGCAGGACATGCTTTATGGGGCGTGGTAACCGGGCACTTACAGCGTTGGACTGGAAGCGAACTTTGACATCTCCTGAGACCGGCGGACACGACAGGAGGCCAATAAGCACACTGTTCTCCTCGGCATCGTGCAGTACCTGACCCACACAGTGTCACGCACACGGCTGCTTAAGCGTAGCCCATTCTGATGACATACGTGTATGTCATCGGAACGTACGTCTACATCATCAGTTTTTCTTCCCATTCCGTTCCGATGATGTAAGAATACATCATCAAAACAAAGCCAGAAGAAAAACTTAAATAAAATAACTTATATCGGTAGAAAGGCTCCCCCAAGGCCATGCAGGAGGGCTTGTGGCACAGTTTGGTGCCAACTATCATAGAATGCGGTCGTGCCGCTACAGTTCTCTGTGGCAATGACAATGTCTATAAAAACAATAGTGCTATGCCTCTCTAAATAAAATTAACGCTGAGCCGCTTGCACGTTCCGAGATGCAGAAGTGAACGGGACCCACCCTGCAACTTGCAGATGTCTCAGAACGGGAAAGGGTTAAGCACAACGTATGCACGTAGTAGCCACAATAGTGGAAGCAGTGTCAACAGCAGAAACCATTCAATACACATCAATAGAGTGAACTTAATTAGCGGTACGTGGGACTTGCAATATGCAACAGTTGGCCAGATAGCAATGCCAGCAGAACAAAGATCTGTACTGAGATATTTTTGAATCACAAATGAACCTCAGGCCCTAAACACTATGCACATGCCTGAACATTTTAATTGTATGGTAAAGTATATTGCTGTCTTATTCAACAATTGTAAGAATGATCATGAAAGTTACAAAACTCAAGTTACAAGTCATAAAGGTGGCATTGTCAGTGAACTAGCCAAATTAATTCTCATTAAATTAAATTGTAATGGCCGAGGGTCGAGAATAATGGAGTGGCAGCCAAGGAATGGAACACATTCAACATGACGTCCACCAAGGAGGAGTGATGAAATTAGTTAATGTACAGGTGCTAGGTGGATCTTTACATCTTAAGATTGATCATGGACGATTCCAATTATGATTACCCAAAGCATTGCAAGCACACATGGTAAACAATTGCTAATTCTCATGACAATGGCAGCATTGATAAATACTTAAATTAAAAAAAACGATCGATGTATCCAAAGTTGAACAAAGATACGTTTGGAGAAGCTAACTTACCCTGCACTCCCTTTGTGTGGCACATGTGGCCTGACACACAACCATACCTCGCGCCACCACCTGCACAGTCAGGTCACTGCCGTTGCTCTTCCCCACTCCTGTTAGGGTCAAACACAACATCGAGGATAAGAATGAACAAGATCACCTTGCTCATCTGCATTCCCACCCTCACCTATGGTCATGAGCTTTGGATAATGATTGAACGGATGAGATCACGAGTACAAAGGGCCAGAATGAGGTTTCTCTGCAGGATTGCTGGGCTCACTCTCCGCGATCGAGTGAGGAGCTCGACAATCCGGGAGAGTCGAGCCACTGCTCCTCTGGATCGAGAAGGGCCAGTTAAGGTGGTTCAGGCACCTGGTAAGGATGCCCCCCAGTAGACTCCCCATGGAACTCTAACGGGCAGCATGTCCCACTGGATGGAGACCAGGGGCCGGCCCAGGACACGCTGTCCGGACTATGTCGCTCGGCAGGCCTGGGGACTGCAGGCTACCGAGCGTCATGCTGCCGCCGTGACCTTCACCCAGACAAGCGGACTGACAAACGAAGGAACAAACAAACGAACATTGCTCAGCATTGTGAGCCATTAACATAGGCTTAGCAAAAGGGATTTCCCCAAAACAAAATTTTTGAAATAAAAGCCGGTTTCCCGAATACACAATACTGTCATCAAAGAAAATTCACGACCTTTCGGCCACAACACAAGTGGCCTTCATCAGGTGAAGGGACCAGACTGTCTTGAGGACAGCGCTGGAGTGAACACAGCTAAGCTCAGACCGCGACCTTTAAGCTGTGTGAGAGGAATCAAGGTGCCTTGACAAAGGAATTAGCATAAACATTAGCATTTATTTGGCGGACTTAGCATGATGAACGGTGTAGAGGGGTTTATAAATGTGTCGTAACCCTCCACCACCCGACACGGCCAATCAGCAAAAAAAGTGTCACGTTGACAAAAGACAAATAATTCACTACTTTAGCCCACCGGTGTGTTGAAGAGTGAATCCACATTTACAGTTTGAGTACAACGTTTCGCTGGTAAAAATACATCCAGCATCATCGGGCAATTCGCCAGATGATGCTGGATGTATTTACCAGCGAAACGTCGTACTCAAACTGTAAATGTGGATTCACTCTTCAACACACCGGTGGGCTAAAGTAGTGAATTATTTGTCTTTTGTCAACGTGACACTTTTTTGCTGATTGGCCGTGTCGGGTGGTGGAGGGTTACGACACATTTATAAATAAACGCGATCTAACCCAAAAACCTTTATTATGAATAATATTGGTCGCGAAAGCCTACGTGTTAAACTGGTGTAGAGGGGGTGAACATGTGCAGGTCGACGAGGGGGGGAGGTGTGGAAAGGGAAGAAAAGGGAAGCTGCGAAAGTTTGGGGTACCACTACTTGGAAAAATATACTGTACCATTGAAAAGTAGTTTAATGTTTTGTTCGATTTAGAACATCTTTCCAATGGTTGCTTAATTTGAAACCATCTTCTCGGTTGAAATTGTGTCTGTGTTTGTAAATCTGAATTGCCTCGTGAACAAATCTCTGATAACATCAGCAAAGATGAACGCTCTGAACTCGCGAAATTAAAAGAGAGACATGATATAGTCATCCTCTCAGCCGACAAGGGCAATGCCACTGTAATTATGGATAAAAACTCATACAACAATAAAATTCAGGACCTACTCAATGATGGTAGTTACTCAAAAATTTCCTAACTATAAAAACAAACAAGATCATCACAAGTTCGACCTCCCTAATCGAACCAACTAAACGTCCCTCCCTAAAACCTTCTGCTGCAAGACCCCCTAGATTCTATGGTCTTCCAAAGATTGATAAAGAAGGCACTCCACTAAGACCCAGCTACCTATAAGCTAGAACGTTTTTTTCTGTCAGATACCTTGCTACCTTTCACTGGCAAGACCTCCTCAGCAGTACTTAACTCAGCCCAATTGGTTTCTATGGTCAAAGACGTTGTACTGTCCCCTGACGATATCCTTGTCAGCTTCGATGTGGTCTCCTTGTTCACCAAGGTCCCGGTACCTGATACCATTGAAATAATTGAAAATTTGGTACAACATGTGTAGTGGGTTCCAGGACACAGAGACGGCAGAATAGCAGCAGCACTATTTATTTAAACCTTAACAAGGGTTACACTAGAAGGGGTAGCGGCCCCTCCACCCGTATAACTCAGGAACACACCCCAGGCTCTCTAGCCTAAGCTCTAGGCTCCCAGTTCCTCCTGGTAGGGCTCTAAGGGAGGCTATCAGATCCGGCCCTGGTTAGGCACAGATCTCGGCACTCCGCCAACCAGACCGGCCCTTAGAAGGACTCTGACTCTGGGGCTCTGGGGCCGCACCACTGGCTTGCTGTGCCGGCCCTGAAAAGGGCAGCGGTCACAGGAGTTCCAGGGTCTCACCTAGCTGGCCTTCTTTCTTCACTGGTTGCTTCAGCCTCGGGCCCCACACTCTGCCCTGAGCTCCCTGGCTCCCCGCACTTTATACCCACTGGAGCCTAAGCGGACGTTGTTGTAGCCACCAAGGTGTGGGTGAACCACACCTTCCCGTGCCATGTGTTTATTCCCCATAGCACCCCTACACATGGACTAAACCCCGAGGTACCTATGCTGGTCAGGCACTGCCTCACCAACACCTACTTGACTTGGAATGGTTCCTTCTACAAGCAAAATGAGGGTACTCCCATGGGTTCCCCCTTGTCACCAGTGATAGCCAATGTTTTCATGGAGAAATTTGAATCGGGCGCCATCCAGACTTCCACCCTCAGACCTTCCCTGTGGAAGAGATATATAGACGACACTTTCGTCATTTTGCCACATGGCCTCCCAGCTCTGAACCTTTTCCTACACCACATCAATTCCAGACATCCCGCCATCAAATTCACCATGGAAGTGGAGAAAGATGGCAAGCTACCATTCTTGGATGTTCTGTTTGAGAGGAGACCTGATGGCTCATTGGGGAATTCTGTCTACAGGAAACCCACCCACACAGATTTCTACTTGAAACCTGATTCCCACCACCACCCAGCTCAAAAGAAATCTCTCATCAAAACTTTTTACCATAGGGCTCATTCCATTTCGGACCAACACCACCTGACCAGTGAATTAAAACATGTACACCTGGCCCTCAAAAGGAATGGATACTCTGACCGCACCATCCGCCAAGCTGTCTCTCCCTCCATACAGAAACAACCACTTGATGCTCCGGTCAAAACCATCACACTACCATATATAGCAGGCGTTACTAAAAAGATTTCCAAAATTCTAAACAAACACAAGATCCAGGTCCGGTTCAATACAGTACACAAAATTCGTGATCTGATCCCATCCGTGAAGGATGTCATTCCTGACTTAGAGTACCCCGGGGTTTACAAATTGAGTTGTACCTGCGGTGATTGCTATATCGGGGAGATGAAGCGACATGTCTCTGACCGAATTTGCGAGCACAAATCAGATTTTAAACACGGCAGAACGAATTCTTCTGCCGTAGCTGATCACTGTTACAACGCTGTGAGTGATCACGATATAATTTTCTCCGATACCAAGGTTCTTTGCAAACCCACGGGTTTTTATCAGAGATTTGTTCACGAGGCAATTCAGATTTACAAACACAGACACAATTTCAACCGAGAAGATGGTTTTAAATTAAGCAACCATTGGAAAGATGTTCTAAATCGAACCAAACATTAAACTACTTTTCAATAGTACAGTATATTTTTCCAAGTAGTGGTACCCCAAACTTTCGCAGCTTCCCTTTTCTTCCCTTTTCACACCTCCCCCCCCCTCGCCGACCTGCACAGGTTCACCCCCTCTCCACCGTTCATCATGCTAAGTCCGCCAATTAAATGCTAATGTTTATGCTAATTCCTTTGTCAAGGCACCTTGATTCCTCTCACACAGCTTAAAGGACGCGGTCTGAGCTTAGCTGTGTTCACTCCAGCGCTGTCCTCGAGACAGTCTGGTCCCTTCACCTGATGAAGGCCGCTTGTGTTGTGGCCAAAACGTCGTGATTTTTGTTGTCTTATTTTTTTACCTACGTGACTTTACCGAATAGAACCAAAGAGTATGGATTCTTGCAGTCACGAAAGCTTCAAATCTAGAATTGTCATCAAAGAGTCAACTACTCTGGCATGTTACCAAACATATTATTACTGTAACTGTTTACCAAGGAAATTTGATTCATTAATACTTGGAACGTAGAAGGAATACTCCTCAAAAATCCATAGGTATGTTATCAATGTATTTGGCAGTTATGGTGATCTCTGCATGAGCTACCAACCCCACCTCAAAAGCACTGGGTTAGCCATGTGCTGGGGTCAGCAAACAATAACAATAAGAATAACAATAAGAGCCATTTTTTTCGAATTCGGTAGGAAAAACTCAATATTTCAAGAGCCGCAATGCATGTGAATACGAGACGGTGGTCCTTAATATATAACGTCACGACGCAGTCCTCAAAGAGCCGCATGCGGCTATAGAGCCACAGGTTGCCGACCCCTGGCCAGGTGCCACCACCACGGCCATGTGAATTTGGGGACTACAGTGAGGGAAAAAAAGTATTTGATCCCCTGCTGATTTTGTATGTTTGCCCACTGACGAAGAAATGATCAATCTATAATTTTAATGGTAGGTTTATTTGAACAGTGAGAGACAGAATAACAACAACAAAAATCCAGAAAAACGCATGTGAAAAATGTTATGAATTGATTTGCATTTTAATGAGGAAAATAAGTATTTGACCCCTCTGCAAAACATGACCTTAGTACTTGGTGGCAAAACCCTTGGTGGCAATCACAGAGGTCAGACGTTTCTTGTAGTTGGCCACCAGGTTTGCACACATCTCAGGAGGGATTTTGTCCCACTCCTCTTTGCAGATATTCTCCAAGTCATTAAGGTTTTCGAGGCTGATGTTTGGCAACTCGAACCTTCAGCTCCCTCCACAGATTTTCTTTGGGATTAAGGTCTGGAGACTGGCTAGGCCACTCCAGGACCTTAATGTGCTTCTTCTTGAGCCACTCCTTTGTTGCCTTGGCCGTGTGTTTTGCGTCATTGTCATGCTGGAATACCCATCCACGAC